TGATAATATTTATTTTTCTATTAATTTTATTTAGACGAACATCATTAAGCATCAGCAAAACAATTATTTCGTTCAGCAAATATGACTCAAACGATGGCAAAGACGAGAAATTTCAAATTTTGAATATCTTATGTATCTAAACAAGATTTAAATCAATATCCTGTATTTCCGTGGATTATAGCTGATTATGAAAGTGAAAAACTTGATTTAAATTCTCCATCAACTTATCGAGATTTATCAAAAGTAAAATTTAAATTATTTTTATTATCTATACTTGATTTTGTTTTTCTTTAGCCAATTGGTGCATTAAATCCTACAAGAAAATCATTTTTTATTGAACGTTATAATAATTGGGAATCTGATACAATACCACCATTTCATTATGGTACACATTATTCAACAGCTGCATTTACACTTGGTTGGCTTATTCGACTTGTTAGTTTGAATATAATTATATTTAAATTGAATCGAATAGTTTTTTTTTAGGAACCATTTACAACATTTTATTTAAATTTACAAGAAGGAAAATTTGATCATGCTAATCGATTATTTCATTCAATACCATTATCATGGCAAAATTGTCAACGTGATTCATCAGATGTTAAAGAATTAATACCGGAATTTTTTTCTCTACCTGAAATGTTAACAAATTGTAATCATTATAAATTAGGACGAACTGAAGATGGAATTAAAGTTGATGATGTTATTTTACCTAAATGGGCACAAACATCAGAAGATTTTATTCGAATTAATCGAACAGTAATAAAAAAACAAGAGAAATTTTTTGAAGAAATAAAAAAAATTCTTTTTTTTTAGGCATTAGAATCTGAATTTGTTTCATGTCATTTACATCATTGGATTGATTTTATTTTTGGTTATAAACAAAGAGGTTTATTTATAGAAGATTAATATTATTTTAATGATTGATATATGTTTTTTTTTAGGATCTGAAGCTGTTCGTGCTGTTGATGTTTTTTATTATTTAGCATATGAAAGTGCTGTTAATCTTGATTCAATAACAAATCCAACAGATCGTACTGCTATTGAAACACAAATAAGAAATTTTGGTCAAGCACCAGCACAACTTTTAACTGAACTACATCCACCAATAAATTCAGCCATGAATTTAGTAAGACGAAACAAACACATTATTTTTTTTAATAATTCTTTTTTTGTCTATTTTAGACTCCAATGATGTATAATGTGTAAGTAGTTTTTTTTCTCAAAGAAAGAAAAAATAATTTAAATATTTTAGTACACCAGAAGATGTATCAATGATAATGAAATTTTCATCAAATGCACCTATTATTCATGTTTCTGCTAATACAAATCCAACACTTTCCATACAAGCTATTATTACAATTAGTAATAAACATGATTTTTCTATAAATAAATATCATCCAAATGCTAGTACACCAACACAAACTTACCCTGAATCATCACAAACATCAATACATCAACAAACACAATTACCATTAAGCATGGATTCAATATTAGGTAGATTAATTCTATAGTTAAACTTTTTATAGATATTAATTTGAATAATAATTATTCAATATTCAAAAATAAAATAACAATAAGAATATCTTTTTTTTATTTAGTATCAAATATAAATTTAAATCTTCATCATTTGGGTGATCATTGTGATGAACGTATTCAACAACGACATCAAAGTTTTGTTGTTACTGCTGATAATCGTTATATAATATCAACTGGTTATTGGGATAAAAGTTTTTGTGTACAAAATACTGATATAGCTAAAATTACACAAGTACTCTATGGTCATTTTGATATTGTTACATATGTATGTCGTTCAGAAGTAACTATTGCTGAAAATTGTTTTCTTGCAATTGGTTCACGTGATTGTACAGTTTGTATTTGGATATGGAATGGTACAAAAGGTGCAATAGTTGATCGTGAATATCCAAATCAAGGTTATAATTAAATTTAAAAAAAAAATCAATATATTATAACTAGCGAGACCCTGTGCATACTGCACAGCTGTTTTCTCTTTTCACATATAACTTAAGACGTTTAAATTTTCATTCAGGAACAGACATACAGACATTCAATATTATGTATGTAGATAGATAGCCCTACGGTCTCATACTCTTATATCGTACATATTTTTATAGTCCATGTAGCCTTCGGCCTTATAGCTTTATATTCCTTGTAGCTATTGTAGCCTTATACCCTTATTGCCTTAGTCCCTTGAGAATCTATGGCTATCCCCATATGATAGCTCTTCATGTCCTATAAATATACCATATAATAGCCCTTAAGGCCTTCCGCTTATAGGATTATTTGACTTTTAACCTTTAACCTTGGACGTGGGCACAGAGACGTCAGACAGACACTGAACAATATATATATATAGAGAGAGATTTTTTTGTTTTTACATAGAAATCAATCCATCACCAGCAGCAATTTTAACTGGTCATGATAGAGAAATAACATGTTTATGGATATCAGCTGAACTTGGTATTGTTTTAAGTGGTAGTGAACAAAGTCTTGTACTTCAACATACACTTAATGGTGATATATTACGTTCATTTGAAAATCCATCAAAAATATCTACACCACGTCTATTATCACCATCAAATGATGGTGATATTATTGTTTGTTATGATCGTTCAAAATTATGTTTATATACATTAAATGGAAAATTAATGAGACAAGCAATATTTGAAGATGAAACTATTCAAGTAAAAGCAAAACAAATAAAAAAGACAAAAATAATTTTCTTTATCTTTGTCTAGTGTATGGTTTTAAATGCTGATAGTCAATATACAGTTATTGGTGGTGATCGAGGTTTTGTACAAATCATTCGAACACATGATTTACAACCTGTTTATGCTTATCCACAATGTGATGCTAGTATTCGTTCATTAGCAATAACTCATGATCAAAAGTAAAAACAAATATATATATTTCTTTGTTTAATTTAGATATATCATGGCAGGTCTTTCTACAGGTTGTTTGATTGTATTTAATGTTAATTTTAATGTTCTTAACCAACCTCGGCGTGATTCTGGAACGCCTACTGCAAATGTTTAATAAAAAACGTTTTCTGTTTGTTTTTGTTTTTCGTAGTGTAATTGTTTTTTGACTATTAATATTTTAACACATTTTTTTTCCTCTGCGCTTTCATTTGAGGCTTTTTTTTTTCTTATAGACATTCCAAATTCCTTGCGTTTATATGGTTCTTTATAAAAGAAAAGAACCATGGTTTCATTTTTGTTTTGAATAGGTGAGAACGGCTGCTACATCAAGTAGTATTTTTTTTTAGTTTTTGTGTTTGATTTGTTGGGTGGGAAATAAGAAAGCCCCAGTGATATTCATTTTGTTGTTGGTGTTTATCGTATTTATCTAGGTTAATTTGTAACGTGCATGCTAAAAAAAAAGATAAAAATCTTTAACAATATCACGATCTTAAATATTTCATTTGTCTGTGCATTTTTCTTTTTACTTATGCTTATAAACGGAGTTCACCGCATTCCTTTTTTTGTTCTTATGTTTCTTAAGCTTCAAAAAAAAAATAAAGCAATTCAATAACTATTCATATACTTCGCACATAAAATAAAGAATTATTTGCAATAATCAAATAGTTATCTGTATAATTGGTTTTAGATTATTCTGGTAAATTGACAAGTTAAAGAATGACAGCAGCAACTGGTAAATGAATTTATAAATAGTAAATTATTGAAAAACTTTGTATCTACAGAGAAGTAATGAACCAATCCTTTTACCGCAGCAGACCTTCCCCTAACCGAGAACTCGGCTCTTGGTTTAAGAGTTATGAGATACGTTATATTAGCAAGTTTTTTGTATAGAACAGAAGGTGAGATTATTCCTTACAAAATTATATCAGAATAAAAAGTTTGAGAACCAATTTGCAGATCTCGACAAGACCATTTCATAACTCTTAAATAATGTTGTTAAATTACTTTTCACTAACTTCAATGATAAATTCAAAGAAGAATCTATAAAATATATGCTTCTATAAAGGTGATCAAAAGAAACAATACGTGCTTGTACCTGGTGGTGCTGGTTTTATTGGTAGTCATTGTGTTATTGAATTGATTACAGCTGGTTATACACCAATTGTAGTAGATAATGAACATAATTCATCAGCAGGTGAAATTAAAAAAAATATCAAATAGAAAATTTGATTCTATTTAGAAAAAAAATTCTTTTTTTTAGAGTGTTTAAAACATGTTGAACAAATTACTGGATGTCAAATAATTAATTATAAAATTGATTGTCTTGATATTGAAAATTTACGAAATATTTTTAAAAAATATTTAATTTATGCAATAATTAATTGTGCTGCACTTAAATCAGTTGGTGAATCAGTACAAAAACCAATTTTATATTATAAAAATAATATTGGTTGTTTACTTAATTTACTTACAGTAATTGTTTTTGTAATTATTAAATAAAAATATATTTATTTGAATATTATTTAGTGTATGGAAGAATTTAATGTTAAAAATTTTCTTTTTTCATCATCAGCTACTGTCTATGGTACACCAAAATATTTACCACTTGATGAAAAACATCCATGTATTGGTGATACTATTACTAATCCATATGGTAAAAGTAAATATATATGTGAACATATTCTTAAAGATACAATAGTTGCTCATCCAGTTCGTATTTTAAAATTAAAATAATCTATTTTTTTGTTTTGTTTTTTTATTGTTGTTAATTTATTTAGGAATGGAATATCATTCTCTTACGTTATTTTAATCCTGTTGGTGCTCATAAAACAGGTTTAGTTGGTGAAGATCCTATTGGTAAACCAAATAATCTTATGCCATATATTGCACAAGTAGCTGTTGGTCGTTTACCATATGTTAATATTTTTGGTACTCATTATGATACTTCAGATGGTACAGGTAAACATAAGCGAATAAATATAATTTATCTTCTTATCATTAAAAAACTATTGAATTTGTATAGGTGTTCGAGATTATATACATGTTGTTGATGTAGCTATAGGTCATATTGCAGCAATGAAACAATTTGAAATGAATTGTGGTTTAAAAGTTAGTAATAGATAATGATTTAAATTTTTTTTTTTATTCTTTCTTATTTAGATTTACAATCTTGGTACTGGTAAAGGTTATTCTGTATTAGAAATGATTAAAGCATTAGAAAAAGCATCAGGCAAAACAATATCTTATAAAGAATGTTCTCGACGTCCAGGTGATCTTGCAACTGTTTATGCTGATCCAACATTAGCAGCTCAAGAACTTGAATGGACAGCTCAACGAAATTTAGATGAAATGTGTAAATACGTTTTTATTTTTAAGTACAGATTTAAAATTATATTTTTCTTTTATAGGCGAAGATTTAGGGCATTGGCAATCGAAGAATCCAAATGGATTTCAATAGAATCTCATACATAGTATTAATTTAATACATCTGTAGAAGTTAAATTTAAAAAAAAAGAGAATCTCTTTCTATCTATAAACGCATTTAGTCAATATTTACATCTACTTATTTATGATGTTTTAGATGAGTAATATTTACATTCAAGAGTCAGCTACTCGTGGCAAAGTTGTTTTAGATACAACTGTTGGTGATATTGAAATTGTACGCAATTTTGTGTCTTTCTTTTTTTTTTTTACAAACGGCACTACAAAAGTTTTTTTTTCATCAAGTCTTAGTTCTAGATGTTCCATCGACATATAATTTCATATGATTTTGTACACCGAATCCCTTTAGTCTTCTTATTCTGTATCTTTAATAACTAGAACATTAAACTTATTACGAAATATCTAATCTCAATTGCAACATGTTCACCTATGTAACTAATCGGAATGAAATATAAGAATAAGATATTTTAGAAAGTTTAGAAGTTCAACAATTGATCTCGATGCACAATATTTAGGAAAGTCGGACGAATAAAAGAAAAACACTTTTGTAGTGCCCTATATAATGAATGTAAAATAGTAATATGCTTTTTATTTTTTTTTTGTTTTTAGGAACTCTTCTCTAAAGAATGTCCATTAGCATGTCGAAATTTTGTTCAATTATGTATGGATGGTTATTATGATGGTACAGTTTTTCATCGAGTTGTACCAAATTTTATTGCACAAGGTGGTGCTCCAACTGGAACAGGTGAATGCTTCGCAGTAGATCATAAATTAAATTAAATTTTATTTTGTTTCTATATAAAAAAAAACAAAAACAACTTTAGGATGAATTTCATACACGTTTACGTTTTAATCGTCGTGGTCTTGTTGGTATAGTTAATCAAGGACCAAATACTAATGCTAGTCAATTCTTTTTTACTTTAGGTAGTACTCCAGAACTTGATAAAAAGAATACATTATTTGGCAAAGTTGTTGGTAATACATTATTTAATATGTTGAAATTAGGTGAAGGAGAAATTATTGGTGAAATACCAGTACATAAACATAAAATAATTAAAGCAGAAGTAAAAAAATGAGAAAAAAATTTATAGTTTTAAAAGATTATATTTTATATGTATATAGATTATATCAAATCCATTTGATAATATGGAATCTCGACCTCGAGCTAAATCACAAATGATTGATGATGATAATGATGAAATAAATAAAAAATCGAAAGAAACTGTACAAGCTAAAGCAATCAAGTAGAATTTTTCTATGAAGTTAAAACAAGAATTTGAAATTCTTTGTTTTTTTTATAATTAGAAATTATGGTCTTCTTTCATTTGGAAATGAAGCTGAAGAAGATGAAGAAGAAATAACAAAAATTTCAATGGTATAGATATATTTCATTTGTCTTTCTTTGTTTTTTCGTTTCTTAATTTAACAGTTTTATAGACATTCAAACAAAAAGGAACGGGAAAAAGTGCACATGATTTAACTAATGATTCAACATTAAGTAAAAATACAGTTGTATTAAATGAAAATAATGAAGAAAGTGATGAAGAATTACCAATAGAAAAACAAAATTTTAAAATAAAAGAAAAAAGTGATGCAGATTTTGATAAAGAAGAACTTGATCGAGTACGACAAAAATTTAATGCAAAAAAATTAGCTCAGCAAGAAAAGAAAAAAACACTTCAACTTGATATTGATGATGATGATGATAATCAAAAAGATATTTCATCAACAAAATCGTAAATATAAAATACAACAAAAATATTCTGATTGATTTAGTATTGTCTTTTTTTTTGATCGAAATGAAAATGTTAAACTTGAAATTGAACGATTAAAAAAAGAATTAAAACAAACAAAAAAGTCATCATCAGCAACCACACCCAAATCATCAGAAAATGTCGTCCAAGAAGAAACAGAACGTAAGTATTGTTTAATGATATTTAGTATATCCTACGAAATCCAGTTTGAACGGATAAATCCATTCGAAAGTATTGAACTTTTTTTCGGTCTTACCAAGATCTATTTCATATTTCAAGGATGCATGAGGATATTCATCCTATTTTTAACTGACAACCATATTTTATGAGTTTATTTCAAATTTAGCTGCACCCTCATCTATTCAACCAGTTATCTCGAGTACTACTACATTAATGGATGAATTAATGTCAGGTACAAGACGAGACAATAAAAAACATCATAGTAGTCATTCAAATTCAAGAGAATCTCAAGTTTGTTCATCAATTTCTTTTTTGTACTGAATAAAACATTTGAATTTAATTTTTTAGACACTTGATTTATTAGAAAGATTTCGCGTAAAAGTTCACACTGCTAAAGATGAACAAATTAGTGAACCTTTAAATGAAACACAACCCGAACAAATAGCTGATAAAGTTGAAACACCATTTTTAAAACATACTTTTGCATCTCAAGAATTATTAGATAATGTTCAAGATATTTACACAAATGCTGAATTATTAACTGTTTATGATCCAAGAAATTCCATGACTAAACGACGACAATATGAAAGTAGTATGCTACTTCATCAAAAAAAAAACATAAAGCGCGTACATAGAATAATATTGTTGTTGTGCTTTTGTTCATTTGTGCATTATGTAATTTCTTTTCTTGATGATATAAAATAAATCCTTCCATAGAAAATATAACAAGAAAAAAAAAGGAATTATTTTTCTTTATTGTATTCAGACAAATTATGCAACATTCATGTTCACATACATGCCAACATGTTGATGAAGTCAATGTTGGTCAATGGAATCTACATACAAAATTTGATAAATATAATTTACAATGCTATAATGAAAAACATGATGATTCAGGTAAAGATGTATTTCGAGCATGGGAAGAACGACTTGATCGATCAAAAGTATATTTTGTATTTGATTTATTTAAATAAAATATTATAGATAAGTTTTTTTGTTTTTGAAAGGTAGTTGAAAGTGATGATGAACAAGAATTCCTTTTGAGTCTACCATTTAATGCTGCTCTAAAAATAACTGGCTTATGTGTTATTGGTGAAAATGGTCCATCACATCCAAATACAGTTAAATTGTATGTGGATAAATTATTTCAATAAAGTAGGAATGATGATTTATATATATATATACATATGAATAGATAGAGTAATTTACCTGAATTACGTTTTGATAATACACGTGGAAAAGCTCAGCAAGAAATTCCACTTACATATGATCCATCGGGTACATTAGCTTATCAAGTTAAGTAAATATCTTGATTTTTTGAAAAAATTTTTAATCAAATATGTATTTTAGTCCATCACATTTTTCACGTATAACTCATTTATCTTTATATTTTCCTTCGAATTTCGGTGATGAAACAACTCGTATTTACTATATTGGTCTTCGTGGTGAATATCTTGGAGTAAGTGAATGTTATATTTCAATATGATTCAGTATGATTTTTTTCGTGTATAGGAAGTAAAATCTAAAGTAATCATTACAACGTATGAAGCTAGACCACAATTAAAGATCACAAAGTGGATGATTTTTTAACAGGCAATCGTGAAATACAATAAACTAATGCTATTGTTTTTTTTATGTTAAATTTGCAAAAAATCTTTCTAAAATAAATTTTCATCTTGATTGAATTTGTTGTATTTTATCTCAAATGATTCTTAGAACTAATGGTAAGGATATAACCTACTTTCTACAGAAATCCGTCTAAAAAATGGACAGTAGTTTTCAATGTAAGTCACATTTGAACACCATGTTTACGTATTCAAGAGCTCGCAAATAGTGCATTTTTTAGTCATATCTTATAACCAATTTCTGACAAAGTTCGATATATAGTGACCTATTTTGTGATCGGTAACCTTTTCTTCATTGAAACTGGTTGTCATAAACCATCCATAAAATGATAATGACGTAGCGATGAAAAGTCAAGTTTTTCTCCACTACAAAAAGACAAGTAAAGGCAATAAATATCTTAATTGGCTATTATAGACCAAGAACTAGATCTTGATTTTGCATGATAACCTTGAACTAGAAAAATGATTTGGTCTTATAGAGAACTTGACAGGGTGTGGGTGTTGTCTTCTTTTAAACCCCCACACCCACACCCAACTATTCATTTTGCAAAGTGCTGCACACCTGTTCTCAATTGAAATTTCCGTTATGATGCATGATTCAATCGAAAGGTGTGGGTGGATGGGGTGTGCGTGTGGATGTGAGTCTTCTTTTTGCAAACATCCACACCGACACCCGGTATACTTAACTATCTGAATGACATTATTCTGTAGGACAATTTCCAATACTTTAAAGTTCGAATAATATATGAAGATTTTCTCAATCGAAGATCGATCATTCTTCATCCAAGAATGAATGTTTGTGGTAGTTTCGCATATGTTAACAAATGACGTTCTACATATATCTAATGGTGTCTCATATTATCTCGCATTTAGAGTTCTTTGCTTAGACATGATAATACATTTCATACATCGATATTCCATATTGACCACTGTTCTTCGACTTGATAGAAATTTTCGTTGACGATACCACGTTGAGGCATTATTCCTTCAGAAATCAATCAAAATAGATGGATTGTCTATCATATGACTTTTGTTGCTGATTTCTGGATAATCGTCAAATTTTTTTTTTCAGTTCATCTTGACCATTTAGTAGAGACTGCTTCGTATGAACTTCGTTTTAGGTTCAACTCTACAGACGTTTTCGTTTTCGGCTAGTAGCATAAACTGATTGAAATATGAAACCTATCGATTGTGTTTATTTAGAGATATAACCAGATCGGCTGCATCATCATCAATGTATCATCAACTAACAACCAAGCAATCGAGTTGCGAACTTTCTCTTTTTTAAGCCTAGAAGTACCAAGAATATCTTTTTTCCATCTCTTGACAATTTGTTCTCTACCGTCATTAATCGATTCGTTACAAAACAGGAAGACAGATAATGAGAAAATGATCTTGATGAGATACAATCAAGCAAAAAGAAAGAAAAAAAACTAACCTTGCCTTTTTTCAGTATCCATCTCTGTACATACTCTACCTACATATTGATTTTACTCACTGAAATATATGTATATATAAATATGAAAGAAAAAAAGGCAACTGTGATAGAAGTTCTCTTGCTTTTGATATCTGCAATTGCAGGAAAAAATCCAATATAAT